TATTCAAAAGAAAGACCAGAACTCCTTTTCTAGACTACACACAAATCGTAAAATAACAACAAGTCTGTGCTGTTAACTGAATCTACTTTAGGGAAAGAAATGATGAAATAGACAAAATTTTGTCTTTTGTTCTCCCTTCCTATTATCCACAACCCTATCTTATTCTTACACTCCATGTTTTATATCCTATTCTGGGAGAAAATTCCTATTAAAAAAAAAAAAAAACTTCATGTGAGCTGTTATTTTCAAAATGGGTTCTAGAAGAATACCAACTTTTAATATCGTCCTGTCAGTCTTCATACTCATGAAAGATTGTCTTTTCTCATTCTCTTTCCTCAGCGCTGTTATTGACCCTCATCAGGACATTCTGTCTTTCCCATCCTCTTAATCCCTAACTTGGCTTAATGCTGACCCTCCACCTCATCCTTGCTTCTACCTGAAAGCAGCTGAATGCTATTGGAGAAAAAGACAAAATCCTGTTGCTTATATGCCCAGGATAAATTTATATTATCTCACATAAGTGTCTCCTTAGCTGGCTATTTATACCTTCTTTTGCCTGTTAAATGTGGCTGTCTTCCAAGGACTGGATCCACAGTCCTTTATCCTCTTTACAATCTGTCCCATGGCAATGTCATCTTCTATCCAGGTAACTCTGAGATCCATCCTTAGCTTTCTCTCCAAAGCTCTAGTCCTGCATTTCTAACTTCTTACTAGATATTTCTTCACCAGAATCTCAAAATTAGTACGTGCAAAACTGAAGTAGTCATCTTTCCTTCAAAACCTGACACTCCCTCCCTCCAACTTCTTGCATTCTGTTTATCTTTATTTGTGACAGCATCATCTGAGTCATGTAAGCTGGAAACTGCAGAGTTATCTTTGACGTTGACCTTTTAATTCATATCCCTGCTTCCACACAGTTGCTAAGTCCTGTTTGACAACATTTCTCTCATTTGTACTGTCCTTTCCATTCTCACTTCAAATAGGTCACTTCATGCCCTTATACTCCCTTACCATGAAGCCTCTTAAGTGTTCTTCTTTTCTCCATTCTATTCTTTACTCTTATAATTTTACTTCTTTACTCAACAACCTTAAGGAATTCCAGAGTATCTATTAAATAATAACATAACTCCTTATCCTGTACTCAACTTTACTCCAACCTACCCAGATAGACTGGATATACTTATTATAACCTGTTTATGTCCTACATTTGCTCATGCTGTCTTCTCTTGGTTGGAAAAGGATCTTGCCATTTTGCCAATCTATTGAAAACCCTTCCTTCGAGGACCAATTTAGGTGGTTTTTTCACATTGTCAATAAGTATTTAGGAGTGTCAGTCCATTATTAGACTGTAAGCTCCTGGAGGGTAGGGTCTATCTCTTACTTTAACTTTATATAACACTATCTCCAAGATGTTGGGGCAGCAAGGTGGCACAGTGGATAGAGTGCTGGACCTGGAGTCAGGAAGACCCAGCACAGAGGGGCCTAAACTTGTTCAGGGGGCAGGACCAGGTACCTCCTCGCAGCTCTACTGACCAGTTCCAGGTCATCTATGTAGGGTGGATTGAGGAGGGGACTTGCGGAAGCATTCCAGGATGAAAAGCAGGTGATGGGCTCTAAGATGTATCAGCACACAAGTTCAGAAGCAAGCAACAGCTGTGTAGCTGGGACTCCAGGAGTGGAACTCGGTCTCAGCTCCAGTTTCTAACCTTGTCTAACGCCAAGAATAATCAGGGCAGGAATCTCAGACCAAAGAGAAGCCTACCATTCTGTCCCTCTGAACTAGCAGAGCTTTCCAGCTGGCTGATGGTTTCTAAGTTCAGCAGCAGCTTACCTAAACTCCCAACAAGGCAAGTCCACAGGCCTGCCGTTGCTCGGACCCAAACCTAAGTCAGGAACTTGCAGAAGTCAGGCTGGAGGCAGCAATCAGACTTAGCCCTGGATCAGATCATTCTGAGAGTGCTAAAAGCTTACAGGTCCAAAGCCTGAGCTGCCCTGAGATCCTGAAATAACACAATACTGAGTGCCCCAAGAAAGTAGCAAGAGGACCAGAAGCTCAGAAAATACCACCAAAAGTGCGCAGGACGTAGCCCAAATATAAAGTCCAATGTCAGGATGTCGTCTGGAAGAATGAGGAAACGTAAAAAAAAAAAGATGCCTACATTAAAAAGCTATTATGGGGTCAGAGGCACTCAAGACACAAACACAGAAGAGAACATGGAATACAATATTCTAGAAGATGAAGGATATCGGATCACAACCAAGGATAACTTTCCCAGCAAAAATGAGTATAATGCTATTGATAGGGAGGTGGAGGAGAATGGATCTATAATGAAACAGAGGACTTCTAAGCATTCCCCATGAAAAGACCAGAGCTGAGCAGATACTTTGAGTGCAAACACAATAGTCAAGAGAAACATAACAAGGCAAACAGGAATGAATAATCATAAGGGACTAAACAAGATAAAACACATTCTAATATGAGGAGATGATGATACACACGTCCCCTCTGAAATCTATCATCATCAGGGGTCACAGAAGAAGTCTAATTAGACAAAATACCTGAGAGTGGTACCAATATGTCTTAATAATCTTAAAAAATAATAGAAAAGGAAGACAAGAGGAACCAACTAGGAGAGGAAAGAGAGGAAGGTTAGTGGAAATTATCTGACATAAGTGGGGTATGTAAGTAGAATCTATATTAACAAGGAGGAGGAGGTAGGGGGGCAAGGTCGGTACTTGAACTTCCTTCATATGAACTGGTCAAAGGACACACAAACACATGCACACACACACAGAGTTGGGAACAGAGATATATTTCATCCAACAGAGGAGGGGGGAAAGGAAAGAAAAGAGAAGGAGAATTAAAAGGGTGGGTAGGTCATGGAAGGGATTAGTCCTAAGCAAAACAAACTTTAAGGATGTTGAAAAATATTTACAGCTCTGTCTGCGGTGGCAAAGAATTGAAAACCGAGGGAGTGTCCAACAACCGGAGAATGGCTGAAAAGGTTATGGTATATAAACGTGATTGAATATTATTGTTCTGTAAAAAATGATGAAAGACATGGTTTTAGAGAAACCTGATAAGACTTGTATGTATTAATAGAGTAAAGTTAGCAGAACCAGGAAAACAATATATACAGTAACAACAATACTGTAAAGACAAACAACTTTGAAAGACTGAGTAATTCTGATCAAGGCAATAATCAACCAATGAGCTACCTACCTCTTGAAAGAGAGGTGAAGGACTCACAGGTTTTGTTTCTCTTTTTTTTTTTTTCAATGAGGGTGGGAGGAGGGGGAGATACAGTGGACTTTTACTGGTTAAAAAATAAATATTAAAAATATTTTGGGGCTGAGGAATCTTTTTATGGGCAAGGCTAATATAGTATAATATAAAGTGAGTAACTCATTTAAATACTAAATGCACCTATAAAAATATCAGTGCACTTTACACCATGCTAGATACAGTCAGTGTTTGAAATACTTGCTGAATTGAATTCAATGATTTCTTTGAATAGCATTTTTATTTAAGTCTGCTCTTTATGTATTCATCTTCTATTAACAGTCATTTATTCTTTGAACAAGCTCAGTTTTCATTTGTTTTTCCAAAAAAGGTGTAGATGATTTAGATGTTATCCTTCTTAATGGTAAGTACGGCTATGTTTAAATGTTCCTTGTGGGTAAAAACTGAAAATCATACTTACAAAACACAAAGAATGTCATAGCCCTCTTTGAGTAATCAACTTGCATTTCTTAAATGATAAGACTACCAGAGCTGGAAGGAAATGTTGAAATTTTCTAGAAGAGCCCATCCCATTTTATAGCTGAGAAAGTGTGAGGTCACAGATTTATTAAATTTTTTCTTTTATGATGGGCATATGACCAATGCATATTTTCCTGACAATCTGTCTATGGTCCAAATCTAATTGTGGCAGCCCCCTCTCCCCCTGCCCAGAACAAAATGACTTCTTATCTATCTTCTAGTACAGAGAGAAAATGAAGTCAAACATCATTACTATAATCAGGGTCTCAAAAAATGCTAAATTTGGGGCATTTCATACTGGATGGGGGAGGAAAAGTTAAGTATATCTCTGTAATGTCTATGAAAAAAAAAAAGAACTTGTTGCAACAAATCCACAGTATAAACAAAGTTCCAAGGACCTGAGTTTAGTCAACTAGTCACTAATGAGTTACTGTATGTATTTGGCACTAACAAATATACTGAAGAATCATTAGTAAATTCTTCAGGACCACAAGAGCACATACATCCACACCCACACCCACACCCACTTTAACTATAGAATAATCCTTTTGATGGCTATCCTTCCAATAACAATTCACAATAGTTTCAAAGCACCACAAAATTTCAGAATTGGAAAGGACCTCAGAAGTCATACCCCTGAAGAAGGATTCCCGCTACAATACACCCACCAAGAGGCAAACCAGCCTTGGCAACAAACTGCCAATGATGGGAATTCCCTGCCTCCA